ACTACGACGTGATGGGCCAGTGGGACCCGCCCTTCAACTGCAGCTCGGGTGTCTACAGCTTCTGCTGCGGCACGTGCGGCTACCGCTTCTGCTGCCACGACGGCCCGCGCCGCCTGGACCAGAGCCGCTGTTCCAACTACGACACGCCAGCCTGGGTGCAGACTGGCCGGCCGCCCGCCCGTGCCCGTGACACTGCCGCCCCGCGCGATCCGGCTCGCGAGCGCAGCCACACTGCGGTCTACGCGGTGTGCGGTGTCGCCGCGCTACTCGTGCTGGTTGGCATCGGGGCACGCCTGGGCCTTGAGAGAGCGCACAGCCCGCGCGCTCGGCGCACGGTGACCAGGTGAGCGCGCCCTCCGGTCCCGCCATGTCCTCACTGTCCCCGGCTGGGTCCAAATTCCCCTGCAACTGCACCCCTTTCGACCCCCTGTAACTCTTGGTCTCTCGGCAGCCTCCTTCTCCTTTTGTTATTGTTTTTGTTTTTATTTTCTTCTTCTGGGTCTGTCTCTCTTGCCCCCCGCAGGAGAGACCTGATACCTCACCCCTTGACCTTCCCTAGACTGGGTTCTGGGTCGTTCTCCTTGTAGCTCTGCACCTTCTCTGCAGAAGAAGAAGAAGAAAAACGTCGGCGTCCAAGGGAGGGGGCACTGACGATGACCAGGCAGGACACACACGGACTGGGGCTGCACTGGTGGGCTTAGGCAGAGAGAAGGGAGATATTGGTGCTCGGCGGATTCCCCTGCTGCGGCTCCTGCTTTCCCCTCCCTCCTCCCACCTCCATCCATTTTCCCAACCCAGTGTGACTCAAACCTGACCTTCATTCCTTGGAGCTTCAGAAGCGTCCCCTCAGTAGCCCCCCAGGCAAAGGTCTGGCTCTCCAGTTGCTCAGATTGGAGGGGTTAGAGACCAGTGTGTTTAAGGACCTGACAGGTGCTGGCTGAAGTTTTGAGCTTATTTTGAGTTTTCAACCAAACGGGAATTCTGTGCCGACCCTGGAGCTCCCCCCTACCTCCTTCACTTATGCCCCCAGCACATCTCAAGCTCTCGCCTGTCCACCCATGTCCCAGCCTGCTCAGACTGTTGACACCACATGCAACAGGCTGCAATTGGGAGTGACAACAGAGGGAGGTCCCCCAACGCACACACACACACACACACACACACACCCCTGGAGGACCAGATGTGGATGTCCCAGAAGCAGAGCATGAGACTTGTCATCACCAGACAGACCATTTAGCCCATCTCTTCCAGGCAGCTGGAAGACAGAACTGGGGGCCTGTATCTTGTGTTTCTCCCCTAGCTACTGAATTGCCAGCGTTAGCAGAGGGTTCTGAATGTTGCAGAGGCAGAAAGAAGCTCAGCCTCTGAATTTGGGATCTCTCCTGCAGGACAGAGGTAGCAGTGGGGAGGACGGAGAAACAGTGGGAGCTGAGGCCCCTTGTGGTAGAGGGGTGTTGGGCTAGTCCATGGCTGGCAACACGATCAGCAACGTTCAGATTTGGTTATGTCCCTATAACAATGTGCCTTGACTCTCTTCTTTGGGCTCCTAGGTGAGTGTGTTCTGAACCCCTGCCCAAGTTTCTCTTTATTTCTGCCATGCTGATGCGGATGACGGATGGGGAGGGGTGCGGGAATTGGAGTCAGGATTGGAGTCTGTGCAAAGGCCTAGGGGCATGACGATTCCTCCTTTACTTGTGAGAGCTGGGTTATCAGTACCTGCGTGACATAAATGGCATGTGCCACTGAGGAGCGGGAAAGGAGAGGTCAACTCAGACAGGCTGCAGACCCTTTTAGAGCCTGCCACCCTGTAGCTAATCCTGGGCTACTGTCTTCCAGTGTGCCTCTTCATTAATCAGTCAGAAGGAGGGTCAGGTAGAGTAGGAGAAAATCATGGGTTCTGGGTACTGCAGGCAGCTGGACTGAGGGCCGGGCTGTCTATGGGAAAGGCTCAGTCAGACACTGCCACAGCTGGGTGGGGGCTGGGTGTTCTGGGTACCCAGGGAGACAGCTGCCCAAGGTCACACAGCCTTTGGGTGCAGAGGGATCTCCGTGGCTTCCCTGTTTTCTTCATTGTCTGCCTTCCTTGCCTGTGTGACAGCTAGGTCCCAGGCCCAGCAGAACCCCACACAGCGGGAGTGCAGGTAAGGGAGACCTTGGAGGGGGGTCTCTGGTAGCATTTGAGTGACAGAGTATGGGAGAAGTTAGGGAGAAGGATACCAGATGCAGAGAGCTTTGCTGGGCCAGGAGGCTCAATAGGGACGGTCTCAGAGAGTGAGCCACAGGAAGAAACACAAGGTGGCCCTAGTTCCATATGACCTCATTACTTTCCTGACCTGGTCATCTTGGAGCCACAAGCGAGGCTGACAGGTTATGCCTGGTAGGGGAAGCGAGATATCCCAGGTCAATCACTAGAAAGGACAAAAGGGAGGCCCAGAGATACAAAGTGAGCCCATGGGGGAGATGGCTGCTCTCTCAGAGGACCCAGGTTCAATTCCCAGCAACCACATGTTGGCTTATGACAGCGCTTCTTAGCCTGTGGGTGGAACGACCTTTCACAGGGGTCGCCCAAGACCATTGAGAAACACAGATATTTACATTATGATTCATAAACAGTAGCAAAATTAGTTATGAAGTCGTAACGAATATAATTTTATGGTTGGGGTCACCGCAACATGAGGAACTGCATTCAAAGGTCACAGCATTAGGAAGGTTGAGGACCACTGGCTTATAACCATCCGGAACCCCAGTTCCAAGAATCTTCTGGCCTCTGAGGGCACTGAGCATGCATGCATGCGGTGCACAGACATGCATGCAGGCAAAGCCCCGGTATGCATAAAATGATAAAATAATTCAAAGTGAGACAGTGGTGACGACCGCCAGCCTTATCTAAGGAGAGGCCGGGGCCTACAAGTCCCTTCCACATCTTCCTTTCTCCATAGGACACTGACAGAACTTCTCAAACAGCCAAGCCCCCAGGAACCACTGCCTCCACCTCTGGGCCCACCCCTGGGTAACTGTGTCCAGGTCCAAATGGGTGATGGTGTTCTTCGGGGTTCCCCCCACAACAGCACAGGTGAGTAGGCCAGTGGCAGGCCATTGGTCCCTCTACACAAGGCCGTGGGAGTGGGGAGAGTTGATTGGTTGGCTAGGGAAGGGGGTGTGTGGAACTGCTGCCTGCTGTATATAAACGAAGGGCTGCCTGTGCAGGAGTGTGGTTGGGTCTGGACAAGTCCTTGGTGGAGAGGAACCATCCTGTTGCCTCCTGTCTCCTGGGCAAGGATGCGGTAAGGAAGGCTCCAGATTCAGGGCACGCTGGCTAGAGCTGTGATTCCAAGGGTCTGGCTTGTGGGTCTGGAACCCATTTCTTGGTCTATTTGGCCATTCCTCTACTATTTACATGGAGTTCAGTGCCCCTCCATCTCTGGGGAGCGGTCCAGGGATTTAGCGCCTTGCTAGCTAGCAAGCTTGCTGCCATTGTTCATGTTTTTGTGAGCTAAGCCAGGACATTCTGGAGAGCTATCCATGCCCCAGGTTGCCTGCAGCTGCTGTTGGGAAGGGTGTTGAGAAGAGGTGGTGGCGCAGGCAGGCAGGGTCAGTTTGCTGTTTTCACAGCCTCCGCCCCATTCCCTTCCAGACAAGAAACGCCTCAATAACGCGCCTCTGGGATCTGCCACCCCGGGACCCCCGCGCGGCCCCCGGCTGCAGGGTGGTGGCAGCCTGACGTTGCAGCCCGATTACACCAAATTCGCTACTCTTAAAGCAGCAGCCCTCAAGGCCACAGGTGAGGTGCACGTTGCTGGCGCCAGTTCCCCAGAGACGCTACCGTCTCTCCCTCAAGAGCAGCCCACTTGGCCAACCCGAGCTCAGGACATCCCCAAGCAGCCAATCGACTCCCTCCTCAGCAGCTGACCCGTCTCCTAAAGCCAGTGTTGTGTCGACTAACCCTGTCTCCTCCTCTCCACCCTGCAGAGGCTGCACCCCAGGACTTCTACCAACGTTTTCCCTCTACCGAGCCGGCCCCACGAACCCTCCCAGCTCGGGCCCCGCGTAACCCGGAGGACTTGCCTGCGCTGCTAGAAGCCTGTCCCTGGGCCCCTCCAGGTTACGTACCTCCCACCGGCCCGGTCCCCTATGCGGCTTGGACCGCGGGCCGCCCCACGCGGCCGGTCCCCCGTGGCCACTTGGTGGCTCATGTCTCTCCTGCACCCCGGCGGCCCAGCCACGTGCCACGGCGTCAGTTCAGCGTAGAGAAGTTGCCCGAGGCCTTCAGCACGCAGCCTGACACCTTTTACAGCAGCGCCGGCAGAGGGCCCCGGCACCTAAGCACCAACAGCAAAGCTGAAGTCACTGTCTGAAATGGAACCACAGGAGCTTTCTGTGGGGTCTAGGACCCCAGGTCGTGGAGTGGAAGTGCTGGCTTCGATCCAGACGGGACTGGGGACAGTTAGAGCCTGTGGCTAAGGGGCCAAAAGGGTAGGGTCATGTGTTCTGTCCTTGGGAATGCAGGGCTATCCTTACCTGTGTAAATAAACCCTCTAATGTGGTTCCTGTCTCAAGGGGATCGTCAGTCATTGACTGTACATGACAGCAGTGCAAGCTTGAGAAAAGTGGCCAGAGAGGATGGCTGGGTTAATGTCAAACATTGCTCAGAGCAGAGCAAGCCATAGAAGAGCGATTAGGCCTCAGTGTCTTAAGATCTGGGTTCAGAGGAGAGGGTCCATGGGCTCTTCTAGAGGCTAGCCCCTCCCCTCCCCACAGCTGATCTCTCACTCAACAGTTTCAGTTAGCTCAGCCTGGCTGATCCTCATGGACATAGTCTGGCCCTGGGCCGGCTCCTAGCTTGCAGGCTGCTTGACCAGATTGGCCCAGGGCCACCCCCCTAATGGGTGTGGGCCACATGGACATCTGGTGCTCAGGATAGAGGAGCCTAGCCTCCTCCCAGGAGCTTCTCTGGGGTTAGGGGGATGGAGATGTTGGAATGGGAGCCTTGCAATGCCCCTCCCTTGGGGTTGCTCCCGTTGCACAGGGTTGGCACTGCTAGCTCTCTTCCCCCTTCCTGCCAGAAGCTCCCAGTACTTGGTTGAGGTCCAGGGTACTGTCATTGCCTCTTTGCACCTTCCCCAATTCCTCAGTTCCAGGTTCTGCTATGTGTGGGGATACCCTAGCTACAGCCCTTCCTGTGTTCCAAAGGGTGGCACACTGATAATCCTAAGAGATCTATGGGCTGTCTGCAGATAAGGAAAATAAGGTTTTGGGACCCAAGCACCTTGCCCAGGGTCACTCAGGCCACCTGCCACATTGTTGCAGGTCTTGGCTGCCAAGCATGACCTTTCTGCTCAAGAGCCTTATCTGCTCACTGGGGCTAGGCTGAGGCCAAGGGCAGTGGTCACTACTGAAATGCTGGCTTGAATAAATGCACTAGTTGTGCCTCCTGGCTGCTTGAATCCTCTGTGGTGTACTTTGCTGTTGATGCTCTTTACGATGTGGTTCATTCAGGGTTGTTTCTTGGCCAGATGAACAAGACTCAGCCACACACCAAACAGGTCAGCCTGAGGCTCCTTCTCAGATGGAATCCTCCACTCTACTTCTACCAAGGCCCGAGTACTGCACGTGATCGCGCCACCCCACCCCCTACAGCTTCACAAAGTGCTCACTGCACACTGGTACTTCGTGAGCGTCCATCACTCTAATCTGAGCAAGGGGCCTGTGGTGCCGAGGTCAAGGGTATGAATTATCCCAGTCTGCATACATGCAAGTGGGGGAGAGATCAGTTCACCAGTGACTCAGCGGGAAATGCAGAAACCACACTTGTATGTGGCCATCAGTTGCTGAGCTGCTTAGGAGGGCCCTGCCCACAGTAAGTGCAAATGAAGGAGTGGCCCACCCGATGAAGGAGTGACTTCACACCTCAAGTTCTAAAGAATTGCTACTGTCCACCAGCCAGCCAGCTGAATGGCTAGGCAAGGGGCTGGAACCGATGATAGCCCATTTATCCCAGACCCTCACCCATCCCTATGATTTGTCAAGTACACCTGTGGGTAACAAAGGACCAGCAGACTGCAGCCACATGGCTGCTCTTAGTCCTAGCCCACTGCTGGCCACGTTATGCAGTCATTTGGTTAAGTCACTATAGAGGTAATACTACAGACTCACACAGCCTGTTAGGTGGTACCAATCTGTGTTTATTGAATAACCTATGCCCAGCACATGGTGAATGTTTCAACATCAAGGAAGACATAGGTGTATCCCCTGTTCAGTGAAAAACCACCCTCCCACCCCTCAACAAGGAGAAAAGGCACAGTATATACACAAGACACAAGGGCTGGGCTGCCCCGTGGGTAGGGGCCATAAATTACAGTGATAGCTGGGGAGAGACAGAGGATAGGATAAGTGGGGTCCAAGCACAGGAAGGGCCCACCCCTGCCTGCTCTCTGCTTCAATCAGCTTGAAGGGAAGACAAGCACAAGGTGGGAGAATTCCTCTTAAGTCTCTCAGGAAGCCCTGACCAAGCAGTCCAGAAAAGCAGGACCACTTTTCTTCCTAGGACTCCCCCATTCCAAGGCAAGAGATCTGATTCCTACCCTGAAAAAGAGAGGCTTGCTGCTGGGGAGGGCTTGGGACCATTATCTGCCACCCTGGCTTATTCACAGACAGGAATTCAGGATAAAAATACACTATATGGGAGGCAGGAGTTAGGCTGAGCTAGGAAGGAACAAATAAATCATGCTGAAGACCCCTGGATCCCAGGCCCAATGGTGGTTTCATCCTGTCCAGCCCCTTGGGCCTCCCTGAGCTTAGGCTGCTATCTCAGGGGATGGAGGAGTGGGAAGGAACAGGACAATTAAATAAGATACCATTTATTTTTTAAAAAATTAAAAAACAATGCCAACATTATTTCATCCATCCCTTAGACCTGCCCCTGCCTCCCACCCACCTCCCAGGGTTGGGTTCCCTTCTTTCCCTGACTGTCCCTTGTAATGACAAGAAAACAATGAACAGGCTTAGTCAGGCACAGGGGAGGAATGCAGACCCAGGGAGAGAAATAAAGATGCCACAGCAACTTTGCCCTGTATCATGGCAGGCCCAAGCACACACATATAAAAACATCTGTATAAAAAGGGGCATGCCAGATAAGTCCAGAATGCAAAATGCTCTCTGGTGCACAGAGACCTAGTTTCCAGAGAAAGCCCGATTAAAAAAAACAAAACAAAACAAACAAACAAAAAACATAACAAAAAAACTGAAGAGGCAGAGAGGGAGACACTCAAGAGTCTCCAGAGGGCTGGGGAAGGGGCTCGGCAGCACCCTATGTTGCTTTCAAGTGGGGAGATCACCCCATTCCTGCTCAGGCCACCTGGGCTGAGACCACAGCAGTCTTAAGATGCTCTGCCCATGGTCCTACTGGCCTGAAATGATCCAAAAACCTTGGCAGGTAACAGTTCAGAAGGTCAGTCTTGCCTTCATCCTCACAGTTCTTGGAGAAGGAAGAAAAACAGATGGGGAGACAGTCTGAGACACAGAGAAAAAGTCCTGGGAGAAAGAGACAAAGGTGGAAAGAGGTGGACCAAGCCCCGGATGCGGTCAGGAGGCAGCGATGGCAGTGCCACCACCCAGCTTGACAATCATCTGCTGGCAGTCATTGCAGGAACGTCGGTCACCCACCTTCTCCAGGGTGCGGGCAGCTTCAGCCAGCAGCACTGCCCGCTGGCCTGGGGAAGACAGGAAAGAGAGGGGAAGATGGCGGCAGGCCAGCAGGATGGCAGTAGCTCGCTCTCGTTGGCCAGGCCAGGTGTCTACGTCTCCTGTGGGAACGAGATTTATATAAGCACTGTCCCAAGGACTTCATGTGGCCTCATTTGCTGAACTCACCCCGTTATCCTGTGAGGAGGTATGTTCTGCTCTCTCCCAAGTCCTCCTCACAGGACAGAAGATGAACTTGGCAGGCATCCCATACAGTTACTGTGTAGGCTGAGATACTAGAATCTATGCAACTTCTACCCTGTTCCTGCACTGGACGACACCCTAAGCCCCATTCACAACTACTCAGCTAACACCATTTCTGCTGCCCACTGAGACAAGTACCAGCTCCTTTTATTCCCACTAAGTGGCCAATAGAGTCAAGTGTGTAGAGCACTTCCCCAGATGCCAGGGCTCCATCTGAGCACAAGGCTACACCAGGCCTGTGGTAAGGGAGCTGCTGGACTCACCATGCTTGGTGTTTTGACTGGTACGCCGCCGTAGGCTGTGCTCCAGGAGCTGGTGTGTTCGCGTGGGGCTGGCTCCTGCCATCAAGCGCACAGTGGCTTCATGCAGGAACACCTGGCAGGTACAAGGACCACAGTCAACTCTTGGGGTCTGGCCTGTCTAAGCCCAGTAAGTACTTCTCAAGCAATTTCCTCTGCTACCTGATGCCTCCCTCTTTTCTCCATACCACCCTGCCTTTCTTGCTCCTGGAAAGCAATGTAGCGTGTCCTCAAGCCAAGCTAGAAACCTAGATGAACCATAGGAACGGGGACGGAGCACAGGCCAGCTGCTGGGCGGGAGCAATATTAGATGAGCCAGAGGCAAGGGGCAGCTTATCCTGCTGGCCGCAAAGCCCTGAGGTGTCCTCTAGGGTTTGCAAGCTAGTTAGGGTGAAGCCCTGTCCTTGAAGGCTGTGTCTAGTCAGACAAAAGGACAAAGGAAGAGAGAGGGATGAGGGGGGACAGTCAGGCTGGTATCAAGTTCAATATCTTATTTCTTCAGTAAGGAATGGAGTCTAGACTCACAGTCTTATTTGGCTGTTTGACATTGCAACACAACACTGTCTTCTACCAGGGTCATGCCTAAGAATCGTACAAGAAGGCTGGTCTTCCCTTTCCTTCCTCCACTTCCCACTGGCAAAAGATCATACATATAATAAATCTCATTTGTGTTTCTTTTCTCTCTGTAGCCCTGGCTGTCCTGAAACTTCCTATGCAGACAAGGCTGGCCTCGAACCCAAGAGATTCACCTGCCTCTGTCTCCTGAGTACCGGGATTACATGCTTGGCTTTTAAATTTATGATTTTCAGTTGAGCCACTCGTTCTCGTTTATCACACGTGGGCTGTAGATTGGCTGGTCAGACCTGGCACATTGTCTTTGAGATAGGGTCTCACTGTGTAGTCCTAGAACTCCCGCTGTAAACCAGGACGGCTTCAAATTCAGAGATCCACCTGCCTCTGCCACCCAAGTGCTAGGATTAAAGGTATGAGCTATCATGCCAGCTGAAAAAAAATTTATTTTTTGTGTGAGTATGTGAGTGCGGGCAGAAAATGCCACATTATGCACGTGCTCTGAGGATGATTGTGGGAACTGCTTCTCTCCCTCCACCACGTGGGTGCTGGGGATTGAACTCAGGCCCTGAAGCTTGACAGCAAGTGTCTTTCCCTGCTGAGCCATCTCTCTGGCCTAGATCAGCAGCTTTTAGGTAAAGAGAATCCCTGGTGGGTGGAGGCCCAGGTCTAGATCTCTAACTTGTTTTTCTAAGGCCTTACACATGCCTGCCAAGCTCTCCACACTGCGCTGTATCCTCAGT